ATGTTGTATAGATGATGCTCATAATGTCATAATTGTTTTATGATTACAGAAATCACTATGGTGACGTCACTCGTAACGTCTCTTCCTCTGATCTTGGTGATCATGACTGCGGGTGAGTCTTCAGTTTCAGTCACTAAACAGACACTTTAACACTCGTGAAAAGCTGATTGAGCTCTTCACACTTTGTAGCTCTTAAACGGACATGAGTGTTTCGCTGTCAGCTAACATATAAAAAGGTTCCAAATGAAAAGATACTTTATGTGCATTGGTTCAAAACACCTGAAAAACCACCTAATTTTCTCAGTTCTGTGTTTCAGGGGTTTATGGTCAGCAGTATTGGGCAGTGAATTACAGTCCTTCATATGTTTGTGCATTAAAGGGTTCAACAGTGAAAATGTTCTGTGTTTTAAACCATCCACATGATTATAAGCTCACAACAGCCTTCTGGACCAAATCTGCTGTAACTGATGGAGATCCACCGAACCTGTGTTCAGACCCAGAAAAGAGAGGAAGAGTTCAGTGTGTCAATGAATATAAAGACACTTACAGAATCACTTTGACGAGTGTAATAGAAGCTGATAAACACATCTACTACTGCAGATTCACTACAAACAGAGGAACATGGACAGGGATTCCTGGAGCTCGGCTGGATGTCACAGGTAGAGCTATAGTGAACTCTCACAAATACACCACAGACACACAAACACGCACTTTATCATGTAACTCCTGCTGTATGACATTCTTTCTTTTGAATACAAAGAGAAATGTTAAATTAAATGAGTACTCATTCATATAATGACTATAAAAGGTGAAGATGACTTCTTCATGCTTTAAAAAAAAGTTGCAAAACTGTAGTAAAATAACATGATTTTTGACTTACATTGCCAAGTGTTCTGTAGCTGTGTGATGGGGTTCATCAAGAAACAAAGGAGCAAACTGAAGTGTCATTTCTTATTTAGCAAAAAATCTTGACCTCGCATCAGTTCTTGTCACTGCATACGTTTGCGTATAACGTGGAGGCATGACAACGGAGTTGGTGGATCCAAATGCAGGCTTTATTTTAAAAAGACATGGTCAAACAGGCAGGATCGAAAACCAGCAAACAAAATAATCCAAGCCAGACTCAAAAGAGTAATCCACAAAGCAGGCAGCAAACAATCACAGGAAACCAGGTAAACAGTCAAAGGATGACAACCACCGGCAAGACCGAAAACACAAAGACGTTACAGGTTAACAATACTCAGCAATCTGAGTGTGTGTGTGCGCATCTTAAATAGTCCTCCTGATACGAAACAGTTGTTAACAGATAATGAGTTCCTGGGCAGAGGGAACCTGGAAAATGGAGTCCGGGGTGAGTAATGACGATAAAGGGTTGGAACGCTCTCTAGCAGAGCTCATGGTCACTCCAGCTGGTAATTGTAACAGTGTGAACTATTTTGAGAAATCAAAAACAAGATCTGAAACACAGCGTCTAAGGAGCTTGCCTGTAATAATAAAAAATAAATTAAAATGAAATAAAATCAATTACATTACAGTTTCTTTCTCATCAAAACCAGTCGTATGCCACTTGGAATATTTAATATGAGTTGCATGGGAGTGTTTTTTATTCTTTTGCATCCTATTTTTAAAGCCTGAACACTCTAAAAAACGCTGGGTTGTTTTTTCAACCCAAATGCTGGGTTGAGACTGCTGGGTATGGACTTTAGGTTGTTTTAACCCAATTTTGGAGAAGGGTATAGCTGCAGCCCGGAGATCTCCAAATGGGGGCGGGAACTCCAAAATAGGGCGTGGCTTCCTCCCATTGACAGACTACAGGTGCGTTCGACTTGAAGTACCGCTACAGACGGCAGTCAACGAGAGTAGCTGCTTGCAGTTGGGGGCGGAGTTGAAAACGGAGCCGTCAAGCCGGACACTTTCTGCTCCCGTTAGAGATGCTCACGCGGTGTTTGCATACTCTATCACAGATGAAGTGAATTAAATGCAATATTTGTCAAATACACAGACGTTTCAGAAACGTTTTCATGAGCAACAGAAACACTTTTTTATATACTGCTTAATACAGGGCCATCTGTTCAAGAATAAAGTTCAACGTAAATATATACTATTTAAATACTAATAAAGTGGGGGTATATATGCTTTCATGATAAACGTGACTCAATATAACATTGCGACTACAGTAAAAAAGCTTGTAATGTTCTAAAAACACAGATTTATGAGCAGTATTGAATTTGAAGATGTTAGAAACAAGCGTCATTGTTGTCATGTGGTGAATTTGGCCAATCGTGAAACAGCTGTGTCATCATCAGCGCTCCTGCAGTCGCTCTGAAAAAGTAATTTAGGGATCAGGGGGTGGAGATGGGTAGGTTTAGGGATCAGGGGGTGGAGATTGGTAGGTTTGGGTATATGTAAGGTGGGAGGTGTTGGATCTGGATCCAACCATGCGCCCTGGATCTTGTGTTCTGCAGTGAGGACCATCTCGAGCCAAATGGGAGGAGCTGCCGCTCTAGCTCCCCCTCGCTGGATGTAATGGGTGGAGCTAGACACCTAACCACACCCTAACCCTACCCTTTACCCTATCGCTAAACACCACTCCACCCATTAGTTCCACAGAGGTGGAGCTGGACATCCAGAGAGGGGGAGCTGGAGGCCATTTGGCTCAGCAGTGAGCAGTACTTGGCTTAAAGTGATAGTTCACTCAAAAATGAAAATACAGTCATTGTTTATCACTCTGCTGTTGTTCTAAAGCCGTTCATGACTCCTTTCTTTTTCAGAAGATGTTAACAAATAATTAGGCTAGTCTTTATTACATAACGCCGTTTCCTTTAGGAAACTACATTCAATTTAACCGGGAAAAAAATATTACGAATTAACATGTAAATATGTTAATAACCCTCTCTTAACACCTCAAAAAATTTAAATATTGTAAAATCTTATGTAAATATGACATAAGACGCTCACTGACGTTATATTAAAAGCACCTCTTCCGTTCAGTAAAAGAGGCCGTTAAGACTATTTCTGAGGCGAAGTCCGCGTATTTTTCAATATCAGCTCTTTTCAGAATATTTCCGCCTTCCATGAAATCTCAAGATACTACCGGACTCAAACAATGAATGATGACTTTACATTTTTTATATTTACTTACCATAAACCGTCTTTTACTCGCACCCGCTTCCATCTGAAGACGCTGAGAAAATGGCGGCTTCTCGCACTGGTGTCTTCTTCTTGAAATTTTATTGGCGGTTGACAAACAACAAAATGGTGTATTTCCGCCACCAACTGGAATGGAGTGTGGATCAAAAATTGACTTACTTCCCAATTTTTCTCGCACTGGTGTCGTCGCGATACGTCCGATGTTAACGTGACGTGCGTGCCCTCTTTCACGTCCGCGTTCCCAACCCAGCACCGCTGCGTTCTTCTTCTTCTTTGAGGTTTAACGGCAGCTTGCATCCAAGAGCGTTGCATTACCGCCACCTTCTGGATTATTCTCCTGCAATGTTATTCCATTTGATTTCCTCCAGCTTGTTTTCCACAATCATATTTTCCTCATCAAACCCGTTCTACTTAAGAAATTACAAATATTTTTCCTGCTTTGTCTAATCACCCCACTTTGCAGTATATCTTTAATACCTGTCCCTACCAACCCATCTCTTCTTAATTCTTCCATCATATTTCTCCTCTGACCTTCATAACTTCTGCAACTTAAAAGAACATGTTCTATGGTTTCTCCACCCCCTGATCCCTAAACCCACCCATCTCATCCCTAAACCTACCAATCTCCACCCCCTAGATGTGGATCCAACCACACCCCCTGGATCTTGTGTTCTGCAGTGAGGGGCTGCTGTTTGGCTCTGCAGCCAGCACCTTCTCCTTTAAGCTGATGAATCAGTGAGTTGTTGCTGTTGTCAGATCTGCAGGTGGAGACACAGCAGAGTGTGAAAGAGAGAGATTCAGTCACTCTGAGATGTAAAAGCAGCTGCTCTCTGCCTCAACAAACAACATTCATCTGGTACAGAAACACACAGAGATTAAGTACAGGAATCATCACAGTGAATCAGCTTCAGCTGCGGTCAGTCAGTCGTCATGATGCAGGAAACTATCAGTGTGCTGTTTCAGGATATCAACATCTGATCTCTCCTGCTGTTTATCTTCAAGTACGATGTGAGTACAAACTGATTCATTAACATCAGTGAATTATTCACACCTTTATAATTTTTTAAAAATTTCTTTTGAATTGAGTTTGTAAAGTTAGCTGAAATCTAAAAGAAAATAAAAGATTCACATGTTTGAAAGTCTAATTATATTTCTCACTTCTGTGTTTTGTGTTTCAGGGGTTTATGGTCAGCAGCATTGGGGAGTGAATTACAGTCCTTCATATGTTTGTGCATTAAAGGGGTCAACAGTGAATATGTCCTGTACTTTAAAATATCCTCATAATCATCAGCTCAGAACAGTCTTCTGGACCAAACCTGCTGTAACTGATGGAGATCCACCGAACCTGTGTTCAGACCCAGAAAAGAGCGGAAGAGTTCAGTGTGTCAGTGATTATAAAGACACTCACAGAATCACTTTGACGAGTGTAACAGAAGCTGATAAACACATATACTACTGCAGATTCACTACAAACACTGAGGGTGGAAAATGGACGGGGATTCCTGGAGCTCAGCTGGACGTCACAGGTAGAGCTAGTGAACTCTCACAAATACACCACAGACACACATTATGTCACCTGTTATTCCAGGAGCTCAAACAGTAAAGCAGAGCGCTAGTAATGCCAAAGTCATGGGTTCAATTCCCAGGAAATACATGCACTGATGCAATGTTTAGACACTTTGGATAAAATCAAATGCATTATTCTTTTCTAGTTTCATCCTCTTAAAGTTTCAATTATTATAACATTAAATTATATCTTTTTTAGTCTGATTGTGAATCAGTGAGTTGTTGCTGTTGTCAGATCTGCAGGTGGAGACACAGCAGAGTGTGAAAGAGAGAGATTCAGTCACTCTGAGATGTAAAAGCAGCTGCTCTCTGCCTCAACAAACAACATTCATCTGGTACAGAAACACACAGAGATTAAGTACAGGAATCATCACAGTGAATCAGCTTCAGCTGCGGTCAGTCAGTCGTCATGATGCAGGAAACTATCAGTGTGCTGTTTCAGGATATCAACATCTGATCTCTCCTGCTGTTTATCTTCAAGTACGATGTGAGTACAAACTGATTCATTAACATCAGTGAATTATTCACACCTTTATAATTTTTTAAAAATTTCTTTTGAATTGAGTTTGTAAAGTTAGCTGAAATCTAAAAGAAAATAAAAGATTCACATGTTTGAAAGTCTAATTATATTTCTCACTTCTGTGTTTTGTGTTTCAGGGGTTTATGGTCAGCAGCATTGGGGAGTGAATTACAGTCCTTCATATGTTTGTGCATTAAAGGGATCAACAGTGAATATGTCCTGTACTTTAAAATATCCTCATAATCATCAGCTCAGAACAGTCTTCTGGACCAAACCTGCTGTAACTGATGGAGATCCACCGAACCTGTGTTCAGACCCAGAAAAGAGCGGAAGAGTTCAGTGTGTCAGTGATTATAAAGACACTCACAGAATCACTTTGACGAGTGTAACAGAAGCTGATAAACACATATACTACTGCAGATTCACTACAAACACTGAGGGTGGAAAATGGACGGGGATTCCTGGAGCTCAGCTGGACGTCACAGGTAGAGCTAGTGAACTCTCACAAATACACCACAGACACACATTATGTCACCTGTTATTCCAGGAGCTCAAACAGTAAAGCAGAGCGCTAGTAATGCCAAAGTCATGGGTTCAATTCCCAGGAAATACATGCACTGATGCAATGTTTAGACACTTTGGATAAAATCAAATGCATTATTCTTTTCTAGTTTCATCCTCTTAAAGTTTCAATTATTATAACATTAAATTATATCTTTTTTAGTCTGATTGTGAATCAGTGAGTTGTTGCTGTTGTCAGATCTGCAGGTGGAGACACAGCAGAGTGTGAAAGCGGGAGATTCAGTCCGTCTGATGTGTAAAAGCAGCTGCTCTCTGCCTCAACAAACAACATTCATCTGGTACAGAAACACACAGAGATTAAGTACAGGAATCATCACAGTGAATCCGCTTCAGCTGCAGTCAGTCAGTCGTCATGATTCAGGAAACTATCAGTGTGCTGTTTCAGGATATCAACATTTGATCTCTCCTGCTGTTTATCTTAATGTTGAATGTGAGTACAAACTGATTCATTAACATTAGTAAAATATATCACTAATTATTGAGATTAAATTACTCAGAATTAGTTTCAGGCCCAGTAATATAGGCTGCATGATATTTTTGTTTATATGACAGGATTTATTTTTAATAATGTAATAATATGTCAAATGAATGTGAATCAGGAATCTGTGTTTAGAGACTCTCTTTATGACTCATGGGTTGATAAATCAGTAAATGTGATACTGTTTTATTTGTTGTGCACCAGTTCAGATGTAGATTTATATTTTTGGATCTCGTCACTGAAATAAAGTCTCTTGATTTCTACTTAGATACACTTCAGTAATTGTTAATAATGATAATGGAAAGTCTTTGCATAAATAAAATAATGATGTTCATATTTTAAATATATTTAATCTAGATCCTCCACAGAGTGTCTCAGTGTCCATCAGTGCGTCTGGTGAAATAGTGGAGGGAGATTCAGTGGCTCTGAGCTGCAGCAGTGATTCAAACCCACCTGCAGAAATCAGCTGGTTTAAAGGAGGAAAGTTTGTAGGATCTGGAAGAATCTACAGCATCTCAAAGATCAGACCTGATCACAGTGGAGAATACAAGTGCAAGTCCAGAAATAAACATGGAGAGAAATACTCTGATATTGTGATGCTGAATGTGATGTGTGAGTGAACGCTGGTGCAAGAACTGAGAACAGATCCTCTAGTTCCACTGTGTTTTATCACTGTTCATTGATGAGACATTTCATTCTTTGTATTTTAGATGGTCCAAGAAATGTTGTGGTGACCCTTAATTCATCTGGTGAAATAGTGGAGGGAGATTCAGTGACTCCGAGCTGCAGCAGTGACTCAAACCCTCCTGCTCTGAACTTCAGCTGGTTTAAAGGAGAAACATTTCTGAAATCTGGTGACACTTACAGCATCACTAACATTACGTCTGAAGCCAGTGGAAACTTTTATTGCTTTGCTAGAAATGAACATGGATCTAATGGCTCTGCTGCTGTGACTGTGAATGTCATGTGTAAGTCTACCTTTATTTTTGGTCAGATCTGACTGATTATTTTTTTTATTATTTGTCTTACTGCATGTCATTTTACATTTTTGTCTTTTTAGATCCTGCAAAGAGCGTCTCGGTGTCCATCAGTGCGTCTGGTGAAATAGTGGAGGGAGATTCAGTGACTCTGAGCTGCAGCAGTGATTCAAACCCTCCTGCTCTGAACTTCAGCTGGTTTAAGGAGAATCAAAGCCCAGCTGTTGGATCTGGACAGAGTTTCAGCATCTCCAGCTTTAACTCCAGTCACAGCGGACGCTACTATTGTGAGGCTCAGAATAAACATGGATCTCAGAGATCAGCATCTGTTTCAGTCTCTGTTAAAGGTATTCACTATAAACAGACACTCTTTGAGTTTCATCTGTCTCTAGTGTGAAATGATCTTCATGAACTTCTTGTTTCAGGTGTTCAGAGAGCTGCTCTGCACACAGTTATTGGGATTGTGGTGGGATGTGGAGGATTGATCATCATCATCATCAGTGTGTTTATTAAGTGAGCTCCTGCATTATAAAGACATTTTACAAATTAACACAAATGCAGAATTTGTTAAACTTATTGCAACATGTTAAATGTTACTTGCAATAAATTATACTGTTCAGTACTTTGTAACAACATTTCCAGGAAGAAAAGGAGAGACGGTGGAGCTGACGTTGTCAGACAAAATCAGGCAAGTTTGATAATACATACCTCAATCTACAAAAGCAGCAGGATCATGATATAGATATTATATTTGACTATAAAAATTAAGACTTAAAAAGTCATGTACTGTTGCTTGACTAATATTTGAGAAAATATTTCAGATTGATCTCACGATAACTGTGTGATTGTTATTTTATAAAACAGCAGGATGATCATGTGGGCAGATCAGCAGGAACGGCTCCGACCAATGACGTTCCAGTGTATTCACTAGTATCAGCCAATGAGAGGGATGATCTATATGCCAACATTAAAGTGAAGAAACCCAAACTCTCTGGGAGAGAACAAACAGAAAAAGACTCTGGAGATGCTGAAGAGATTCAGTATGCCAGTGTCCATCACTTCAAGAACAAAGACATGAACAAGACTAAAGAGACTACTGAGATGCAGCATCTATCTGATGTCAATAGGTGAGAAACGATTCGTCTGAACCCAAATGAAACCTATTCAATGCTTAATCAGACCTCTTGTTTTTTTGTTGTCGAAATGATGGACGGTCACCTGCTGGTGGGATTTTCTGAAATGCCATATTCTTTTAATTTCTCCCCAGATCTGAGGACGTGATCTACAGCTCAGTCAAATGAAGAACATGTGGTCGATCCGCATTCTATTGATGCTCATGGGAGACCTGGATTTGAGTCCATCCCAGGTCATGTTCCAGCTCCCTCTCTGCTTGATTTCATCATTTACATATTTATGGGACTGCTCTGCTGTTTGGACATTAATGGCTTTCAGCTTAAAATCAACTCGTTTATTACGATCTTAATTGTGAATATCACACACACTGCCTTCACTCGACACTCACACATGGACGCCACTCAGACCTGTAATAGCTCTTTAGCTCTCGCTTTGTACTGTCAATGTAGAACAAATGTTTTCTTTTCTGTGTTTATACTGTCATTTTATTGCTAAATACATAAAATTTTAACATTGTCAGAAAGTCTTTATTTTCATTATGCCATCATTATGACAATTTAGCACAGTTTATCTTAATTGCTACTCTGGTCTATTTGCCTATAAATACCCAGGTGAAAAAGAAATATATTTAAATTGTGCTTTTTCAGACATACTTACTGTATTTAAATTATACTATACTAAGTGCGCATTAAATGTATTATTCTGAAACAACTTTGTATATTAAGTGTATTTCAAGTTGGATTTTAATCTATTTGTAATATATTTAATATATTGAAATTGTGTTAAAATGGAACCACTTTAAATATATTTAGTGCAATTTAAGTGTATTTCTTAAAATACATTTAAAATATCCTTTTAATATCGAATATTCAAGTTGTTTATTCGTTTTCTATCCCTGAATGTAAAAACGAAAAATTAAGCTGGATTCTTGATTTTTCGTTTTGTTTGAATAATTGAAAAACGAAATATGTGCCGTTTTTCATTTTTCAGATTTCAATATTAAAACAAAAATTGATTGGACGGAAGATACCCTGATTCACTTTGATATCTAGAAAACTTTAATGTATTATATATTGTTGTGTACATTACAAATATTCATAAAGTACACTAAAAAAGGACAGCAGCGTATATACTTTGGTGAAAAACAAAAAACAAAACATACTATTAAATGTATTAAAAATGCACTTGAAATACAAGTATGTTTATAGTATATTTGTATTACTACAAACATACTCAAGTACATTTTAATAACTGAAACGGAATCAATATGTGCTCCTAATGGATCCACAGTAAACATGTCATGCTCGTATACATACCCTCAGCAGTATAAATTGATTGATACATTCTGGATCAAGATGCCAGATGTAGAGATCAAAAGTTTAAAAGAATATTCCCAGTATAAAGACAGGGTTGAATACATTGAAGACAGAAAAAACAAAACTGCCGTCCTCAGACTGCACAACATCACTGAGCATGATGAGACAATCTATCGTTTCAGATTTGTAACTGAAATTGAAGGGAAAAAATGGATTGGTAAAGAAGGAATTTATCTTAATGTTTCTGGTAATCCACTTCTGTTCTCTGTTTCTATTATATATTTAACAAAAGTTAGAATTTTAGAACTTGGTTAGAAAGATCTTCTCTTTACTTAAAATAAAATATCAGACAGTAGATGTGTTTCTCCAGCTCTTCAGGTAAAGGCACCACAGCTGGTGCTGGAGAAAGAAAGAGTCAATCTGACCTGTGAAACCACATGCAGTCTGACAGACGCATTCATCTGGTACAAAAATGGACAGACTTTAAAGATCCACAGCGAAACACTCCAGCTTCAGTCAGAGCGCAGTGATTCTGGCCGTTACAGCTGCGCCGTCAGAGGACATGAACACCTGCCCTCTCCTGCTGTCAGCATTACACTCATGTGTGAGTAGGTTTTCTTTTAAAGGGGTCATAGGATCAGATTTCAAGTTTTCCTTTCTCTTTGGAGTGTTACAAGCTGATTGTGCATAGAATACACAAAATAATGATCTTTAAAAAAGCATCATATGACCCCAACTTCTTTGTATAAATAGTTTCAGTAAACAGTTGGTATAATGGCCCTATCATGGTCTCTGATTGGTTAAAAACCCAGCCAATCAGAGACTCTCTTTGCTTGTGAATCAATTGGCTTTGGCTGGTCAGCAAGGCTTCATCAGCCTCCTGCTGGTAGATCCTGTAACTGTACCATCTGACTGCTCTTTCTCAGTTGAAGTAAATTTTTTCCCCATTCATTAACCATGCATTCTGACCTAAATATCTAGATATTGCAAAATTTTATTATAGTATAGATGTTTTACCAGAGTCAAATTATTCTTGGAGTGCGTTTAAAAGCATGAAAACAGAGGTGTATTTCTTTCTCCAGGTCTTGGTGTGAATCAGGGCATGTGGCTGAAGTAACAAAAAAGTAACTAATATCGCTTACTGTTACATTTAAAGTCTAATTCTAAACTGTGTTTTGTAGTGTAAATATAATCATTAGTTGTTGCAATACCAGATGAAGAGAAACTGTTTGACCATTTTGCTTAAAGTGCAAAATTAAACTGCAATATCCACAATATTTTTCAGTTTTTATTCAACAAACAAATAAAGATATATGATATATGAATATAAACCATGTTTAACCTCTAGATCCGCCACAGAGCGTCTCAGTGTCCATCAGTCCGTCTGGTGAAATAGTGGAGGGAGATTCAGTGACTCTGAGCTGCAGCAGTGACTCAAACCCTCCTGCTCTGAACTTCAGCTGGTTTAAAGGGGTCATATGATGTTGCTAAAAAGAACATTATTTTGTTTATTTGGTGTAATGAAATGTGTTTATGCGGTTTAAGGTTAAAAACCCATTATTTTCCACATACTGTACATTATTGTTTCTTATCTATGCCCCGCCTTTCTGAAACGCATCGATTTTTACAAAGCTCATGGGTCTGAAAAGCAAGGTGTGCTGTGATTGGGCAGCTATCCAGTGCGTTGTGATTGGCCGAATACCTCTCCATTTTTGGAAGGCCTGATCAATCTGATCAAAAGTACAATGTGGCTCCGAAGACTGAATGGCACTGGTCAAACACATTACTTTCGGTACATTTACATCCCCTCCGAGATGCTATAATTACTGTCTGGACATACCTTTCATCATCCATCCTACCCTCTATATGTAATGTAGCTGGCAGAGAAGGCAGACAGAGTGGATCTAAGTAGAGATGGGTGCTTTCGAAACACAGCTTTGTGACACTCTGAAACTTTTGTGAATCATTTGTTTCCAAACTTTGTTTGGGAGTGTGTATCAAATTGCCAAAATCACATGATTTCAGTAAACAAGGCTTCATTATGTCATAGCTGTTGCAAAACATTTTGAAATGTCAGTGGGGGGGCGATCTCTGTGAACCCGCAAATCATGCAAGTTCATTGGGATCACACCCCAGCGATGAACTGTTGAACCAGCGTCTATGATTTTTACCTGATCTTGGATCAGTGTTATCAATTTGTAGACATTTTTGATGAGACAGAGTAGTTGAGTCTAGTCTCTTACTGGCCTGTTTAGACAAGCTCTCCATAAAACAAACAAAACAAGCCCTACAAATGAATAATTCTTAAAAAAAACACATATTATTCAGACACTTCATATTTAATGGTATTTTTTAATTTTAATTGCATGTAATAATTATACTTTCAAGAAAGCATTTGCATTGGGTTTGTGAAAGCTGATTTTATGCATGTTTTGGCATGAGTTTTCTTGCATTTACATAGTTTTGACCAGCAGGCGTCACCAGCGTGTGGTGTTCTGAGTGATTCGAAATAGTGAATCATTTCAGCGATTCAATTGATTCGAAGCTTCGAAAAGGTTTGTTTCTCCCATCACTACATCTAAGTGCAGTAATTTAATGAACCCAAACATAGAGAACACAAGGAATAGGACCATTGCAACAAACAACTGACAAAGCACAACAGAAACACAAGGGCTATACACTGGAGAGCGAACGGGACCAATGAGTAACATGACAACAAACAAGGTATGGGTGCAGTCAATGAGACTAACTATGGAGACAAACAAGGCACACAGCAAACAGGGGCAGAGCACACACAGGGAACGTGTAACACCATACTGCACACACTTTCTGCCGTTCTTCTGCGGAAGAGGGCTACTTCTATACAGTTGCCATGGGTTGTTTTTTTAGTCTGCGATCAGGTTATCTGCATCAGGTTAGTAACGGATCCGGTTAACATTTGGCATAAGTTTAACTGTACTTAGACCACAAAAGCCAAAAAGGGATTTCCGTTTAAGTCAACTGAATGTTGTTAGGCTAGCCTAAATTTGGGTGGGCTTTACCTGTGTTTACTCTAGCTAAGTGTACATGGGAAATCATGACATGACCATACCAAAGCTACTATCAGAGAAAGTAAAGTTGTTGGCTTATTTCTATAATAGTGATCATGACCTCTGACTAGATATAATGTTCCTTTATTCAAGTGTATACAGATCTATGGGGACTAAATAAAAGTACTTTTAGAATGCGCAAGAATGGTGTGGCTATCTAAATAGTATTAGTTAATAACCTGTGTCTAGTGACCAAGACTGACGAGCTTGTGAGTATGAGATCTGTAGTGTTATAGAAATCCAACTGAACAAGTACAACAAGATTAGAATAATCAGATGTCTAGATAAATTATCATATGAATGATCGATAATAATTGCATTCTAACCGAAATTCGGGGTCATAATAGAATGGAGTCAGATTAGAATTTGATTGAAATTAAATTATTTTGCGCACCAGCAGGAAACCTTGAGCCACCATTGGATACCTTTGTTGGGCCAACTGGATGGACCTTACAGTTATATAGAATCATGCTTAGTAACTTAAAAGTCCTTTAATGCAGCCTAGATCTTCTGTTTGAATATTAGATTCCTGTTCACCATATGGCCTAAAGACATTTTGACATGCATAGAGTATACATCTTTTTTTTTTTTTTTTATACTTGTGAAATGCAATACAAATATAACTGTCTTGAACTGACATTTACAGTGGGTCATTTTATGAATATGGAGAAGTTTTCTATTCAGTTGAGTTACATACAAAACACATTTGCATAGAAACTGGAAGTTATTATAATCACTGACAGATTATCTCAACTTGCGTAACATGCTCCAAACTCAACATTTGCTCTACTGATGAAAGCCACTGCGAACAAGGTATGAGAGTTTTTACATATTATTTAATAAAGAGCTTGTACATTTCAAATGTCAGTTTCAGTTTAAGGTATGTAAATATGTGAAGTATAAAGAAATATCATTGTAGATGACAACAAACATTTTTGATTTACTCCAGAGTCATACAGGATGAAATATTGTCTGATCGCTGTTATTCCTGAAGTGTCTGGATCTCTGACACACATGATCTGATATAATAAAACTCTTTAATAGAGCAACACATAAATCTCTGTAGGACAACACCTGAATTACAACAAATAAATTATTTGATTAAGGACTAATGTGCATAATGTCACTAACATAGTCTGACAGTGATTGTTACTGTCCTGTATACTGTACCTAATAACTGTTGTTAAATTATCTTATTTGTTATGGCTGTGAAGATTGTAATGGTGATGAAGGTCAGAATGACTCTTTCTCTTCCTCTCATCTTTCTGCTCATGATTTCTGGTGAGTCACAGTTGTTACAGCATCACTTTCAAAATGTTTTCTGCAATAGCAAACATAAAATATCTCTTATTCTCAAGCAGCCTCACTTAGGCAGTCTGACATTTATA